TGATATTTTATAAGACTCGATGTTACTTTGTCTACTAGAACATAAAAACAGTAAAAATATAACTGCAAATGTTATTTTTTTTATGAAAATTATAATATCCCCAAACTATAATTACGGTTATTTACGTCATATGCAAAATAACTAAATATTTTTAATTATTTCCCATAAATTTGGACGCCGCTTTATTTTGTTTAAGACTGAATCTGCCTAAGACAGTGAAGTAACAAATGCAAGATATTTTTAGATAATGAAAAGATGTCAGATGTTTTAACGTGTTTATAGATATATTTTTTATTGTTACCACTTTATATACTGAAAAACGATTCACGAACTTAGAAGCTTAGTAGCCGACATTATTTCGAATTATAAAGAATTGCGTTTTCTTGTTACTTGTGCTGAAAGTAGACGAAATGAATTATTTATCTTTGAATATGGCAAAATAATATTATCTTGGACTTGGAAGATTACTGTAAGTCCTCCATAAGTAAGACGATAAGCCTCCAGAAATAATTTCTAAGTATTATATCTTTCAAGATTATATTCACGAGTGAATGAAAATTGCTTATTAGTGAATAATTTATCTATGAATCTGAAAACTAGATGAAACATTTTTTATTCTCATCTCTTCTCAATACATTCAATAGAATATTATAAAACAGTTAAAGTCGTCCCCAACTGTTTGTACCAGAACTCAGGTTTGTTGATTTATCACAAAAAAAAAACTGCAGCTGAGGAGAATATATGACATTTGTCGGAGCTTAAAATAATCCTGAATATTAAATAAAAATGTAACAACGAAAAAATATTGAAAAACGAAATTCAACGGTTCGTAATATTATTGTTAAATTGTTATTTATCTCTAGTCGGCTTTATGTGTACGAAAAAATAAACAAGGTATTCGTTTCTTATATTTCTTCTATTTGTTTAGGGAACGTGGATTCAAATGTTTTGTATATCAAAAACAATGGAAAGATGATCCGAGAACAAAGTTCATTGAAGTGTAGAAACACAATATTTATGTTAAGGCTTTTAACATTGTTGTTTGGTAACACTGAAATTGGTAATGATTTCTGTTACAGTTCTATAATACATACTTCAAAACCTACTTGATATGTTAATAATGTTAGTATTATTTAAACTAACACTTCTCTTTTAAAAGACGGATGTAACCTTCTATATTTATGGTCGAATTAAACTACTATGTTTATTAGAATGTACAAGTTTATTGTCTTAGTAATAGTGCCGAAAATAAATAAGATGTTTTTATAACTTAATATTCATAGCAAAAGATGATACCTGGCTAATGGAAGGCTATGATTAGATTTGTCAAAGCCGGTTCATGAATAGCTCCCCTTTATTAACTCTCGTTAAGGTAATGCATAATTGATATCAAGGTAAGAATACACTGCTAGACATTTTAAAGAATTATTTATCATAATACTCGAGGAATACGTTCCAAAATGGGTCGTAATCAATCGGCGATAGAGATGAGAAAGTGTCTAAAAATTAAATAAAATTGGAATTTCTGTTTGCAGTGCATTTAATATAAAAGGATTACTCGTTCATTTTTCGTTTGTTATGTTTTTAATGGGATTAAAGTATTAACAGTTTTATTGTATTTGTTCTGTTAAAAACAATTTCAACTAAATAATTATTAAATAAAACTCTTTTTCACTATTATGATAAAATGTTTATTGAAAAGTTCATAATTTTATAGAATGGATTTGATTTCATTTATTTTATAGCAAATAATTGGTGATTGATTGGGTTTACAAAAGATGTTAGGTGTAGGCAAGTCGTAAAAATTTATTATGGATAGCTGTTGATGTATCGTTACATACAGTACATAACACCGCACAAGTTAACAATAATCTTCAATAGTTGAAGTTGCAATTTCAAATCCTGCTGTACTTGATGAATTTTTCATTCAATATTTTCTGTTTCGGTTTCAGTTCTGGTACGAGGTCAATATTTCTTTAATGTTATATCAAGATAGTACAAATTTCATATTTAGTTTCTATAGTATATTTACAACGTTTCTTGTTAACTACAAATTAAAATTTGCCTTGATCAAGCTTTTTAACTTCGACCCAAAACAATGGGGTGTTTTAGATTTACCGTTGATGTCTCTCTCTTTCTCTGTCTTTCTCTATTTCTATGTCTGTGTGTGTGTGTGTGTATGTTGTGTTTGTTTGTTTGTGAGTCTGTTTGTGCCATCTAAGCTTTCAAACGGATCAAACAATTTCGGTTTTTTCATTTCAATGACAGTTTAGTTGCAGTAGTTTTTAGCTAACTTTGTTTATTATCAGTATACTAGGGTCAGCTCTTTTTAAAAATGATGTCAGACATTTTTTATCTATAATAACTCTAATAAGGCGCAAGCAAGCTTGTATTCAATGCAAATAAATTTGTAAAGGGTGTTTTTTAAATCTGAGACCAAAAACGATTGTCAAATATATGGAATTATTAATTCATCGATTCCAAGTCTGTGCACGGAAGCTTAATTTGTAAAACAACTGGAACAGGATATTCCGGAAATTACAGCTTCGAAATCTCTTTATATATTTTATTTGAATTTTATTTCAAGTATTAAATTAACACCGTTTTATTGTTAAAAACACAATGATAATAACTGACTTTCTACTAATAAGTGACAATTTTATAATAACACACCTTATTGGAGTGAAATAATACATCTTTTGAGCAGGTTAACAATTTAATTGTTACACTAACAGTTAATTACATACTTAAATTCTATTTTAAAATTAGTTTCAACCAAGGAAATCTACGTCATGAATGATGTTATGTAATACACCATACCTAAACCTCTTTAAACATAATTTAGTTTTAAAACTTATAATATATTTTATAACTTATAAAAAATGAACGATTCTTTTCTCAAATATTAGTTTCACTTTCAACAGATATGTACCACAAATTATTCACGGATATCAATCCACAATTCTTCTCTTATTGTAATTGATGTCAAAGAGAGATCATAAACCAGCGACGCTTGCACTAAAATCAGGAGTTATTACATAATGTTCTACTATGTCACTGTAACGTATATGGTCGCGTGTAATTTACTACACGACCAACTGGCATCTCGTGACAGCCATATAAATTTCCAAGTCGTAAAGCAGAAGTAAAATTAAGACTCTTACCCTTGGAATTTCAGGGAGTTACATTTATCAACTCTCGACATTATGAGAAACCGTCAGAATTTTGTTATTCAAAAATATTTGAGATGATTTAAGAAACCTAGCAGTTTTTTGTTTCAATATTGCATTTTAGATTGAATAGAAAAAAACATAAACAGTTTTCAATTTAATTTGTTGACTAATATTTAATTCTGAATACGTATTGATAATGAATTGTGAAAATTTGTATAAATCTAAAACTACCTGATGATTTTTAATCAATGAAAAACTAAAAAAATATACACCTCTTAAGGGAAGAATTTAGAAAGACGTAATATATAAAATTTCTCTATAGAAAAAAAGATTCTTTATTAAATATAAAAAATCTCGTGAGTTCACTTCGTAGGTATCATTGCGACAGACAAAGTGAAACTTGAGAATAATGTTTTCTTTCTTCCGAGGCTTTTTAAGTAAAACGAAAATTATCTTCATAATGTTTGAAAGTTAAAGTAATAAGTCCGCCAAGTAATTTATGAAAGTCTCCAGTTTCCTCGTTAACTAAGAACAAAAACTTGTTTCGTACTTTCAAAACTTCTATTTTTTAAGGAAACTCTGTACTTACTTCAAACAAATACATTAAGTAACATCATTGTTTCTGTCCAAAAATAAAAATATTTTAATTATACATTAGGTTAAATGTCAATATTTAAAAAAAAAATCAGGTCTAGATTATAAAGATTTTCTAATATGGAAGAATAATAATATCCCAAAGGATTTTTGTGATTCGGCCTACAGAGCAGACATATTTCAGAATTTGAAAATTATAAGCGCGTTGTGTTAATAGAGGTTACGGTTCCTTGGGAAACCAACATCCCCAAAGACCATACCATCAAGGTCAACAAGCATTACTAGCTAACGCACCAACGAACTCACTGAGAATAGGTTCGTTGTAAATTTGTACGCGGTAGAAGTGGGAGCGATTGGTATAACAGCTAAATCTCTCCACAACCTACTAAAAGATTTGGTCCATTCCATAATTAACACCACTTCATTCTTGGAAGGTACTATGAAAGCAGTCCTAGTAGGAGCTGTACACTGGAGGAGAGCATTTATCGCGCGTTAGATAGCGATCCCTTAAACCTATACCTAGGTCACAAGACCAAGGCCCTGTTGAAGCTCCTTTCCCTGTTACGCAATGGACCCGGTACCCAGAACGAAAGGTTTCATCTCATTTCAACTAATTAACAGTAGCACCCAATTTTTGTTAGCGAAATATGCATGTATGACAAATATATATGATCATTAATATTTCAGAATGTTTTAATTAAAGCACCAACGCAGTTCATGCTTCCATAAATTACAAATAAATAACCATTTGTATAGTTATGATTTTGACATTAAAGCAATTTCAGCTTATACTTAAATAAAATTAAACTAGAAAATAACAGAATAAAACAATATCAAATTGAATATCGCACGTCAATAGAAAAACATTGCAAGGATGTTGCCGATATTACGTTCATATAATTATCTTTTAGCAATAAAGGAATCTTGAAATCATATGTACCTGAATCCGAATTTAAATAAAAAAATCATCAATATTAGTTAATCGGCTACAGCGTTTAAATATATACTATATGAGTTCATAGTTCACAGCATCTCGCTGCCTTTAGTAAGGGAAGAATAGGTTACTTGGTAAAGCGATATCTCGAAAGTTAAAGTTTTTGTTTTTCTCCTGCAAAATTTTCTGTTTGAATTTTAATGAAACGGCTACATTTTTAATCAAATTATTTATTAAAGTACTTTACGAAAATTAATCAACCCAAAGATATTAAACCGAAATATTTTTATTGGTTACAGGTTACTGAAAGTGATGTAACCATCACACCATTATGTGATCGTGAAGACATTGACGTCACGATGTGCTGGGTGGTATCCGTCCTCATCATACTGTATGCCATGGGTAAGAAATATAAGACTTATTTTGAATTTATATACCTACTCTTTTAATTATTTGTCCCATAGCTTTAACAAAAAACCAGGAACAATTTAATTCGAAAGCGAACGGTAAGCAACTTAATTTTTGAAGTATCTACTTATATTCAAAAGATTTGGGAAATGAAGTAATTTTATGACAACCATCAAAATGATGTTAAATTTTAAAGAAGCAGGATGTTTTTGTTAATAAATTAAATATTTTAAAACTATTGTGATGATTTAAAATATTTCAAAATGAATAGAAAAAGCATATTAACAGGGAATATTTTGTTTGAAAGGAAAATTCTGTATTACGACACAAAACACAAAAATGAAACTACGTCTAATTAACTGACATTTCTTATTATATGTATATAATGTTTATACACAAACATCATACGTCTCTGGTGTATAGTCATATTTCAGACCTTTATAGGTGAGTCAAAATAAAAGTTTTGTGTCAAAGGCTCCACTTTTATCTAAAATAATTTCATTTTATTCGTACAAAAAATATATAACTTTTGGTAGGAAATATTGTATAACATTGTCCTCATTACTCAAATCCCAGTTCCTTTGTTGTTACTCTAAATAAAAGTTTGTGTTATTGAAATAATATAATATGTTACACTTACAAAAGTGCGAATAGAATAAATAAATATTTGGATTTAAATCGTTCTATAATTTTATGAAATTTCTTTTTAAAAGTTTCCAATAAGATTACATGGCTACTCAAAGGACGACTTAATAAATTAGCTAGTTATTACAAGAAATTATTTCTAAATCGAAACGTAACTGATGTGAAGTTCCATTTTTTTATCAAACAACAATAAGGATGAGAAAAAGTAAATGGAAGTGAAAGGAATAGGAAGGGGACTTAATCTTTTGAATTACCCAATTATAATTGCATAGTGTCGGTCTGCTGTGAGAGGGAACTATAACTGTAACTGTGAACTGTAACTGGCTGACTCTTGATTATAGTTAGATGTCCACTCATCAGTGGTTTATAATTATTTTTTTAAATATCTACATCTTAATGTCAAAAAACAATAATAGTTTTAAAAAATGATCGTCTCTGTACGTTATTCAATAGTTGCTGGGAATATATGTACACATAATGTGCCTTATAAATAAGAAACAAATAATTTTAAGTCTTTATTTCATTGGAAGGTTTTACCTATATGAATTGTAGATTTTCTCACAATATGTATGTTCCCGTAGATGTTTAGGTCCTCAACTCACAATAAACAGATGGTCTAGAGTGTACTTAGGAAGATAGTAAATGTGTAGAACATTTTATATCAAATTAGACTTTGAAATTTATCAACTTTTTACTTCGTATATTAATAATTTCAATGAATAGGCTTTAATTAAATTTGAGTTTTGGATCAAAAATTTTATAAATTTTAATACAAAGTAATATCATTTTACACTCACACAGTTTTTTAAGTATATGTATCATAAATAAGTATTCGTTACACAGCAAAATAGTTCTTAACGAATACAGAATAAAAGTAATTTACGAAGAACATAAAAATATATTAACCTTTAGTCGGGTACTGCTGGCTTTAATTTACATTTTAATTGGCGCCTGAGTCGGGACTAAAAAATATTTGTATAGATAAAATATAAACAACTCCAATTTTGCTTAATTCAATCACGTGAGCAGATTACGCGTTTATTGTTGAAATACAATGAAAATGAAAAATATCTTGTTTCAGTTTTAATACTGTCTAATTTATATAAATAGTTAGCTTAACATTATAACGATGTAATTTCAGTATAATGAAAGTGTTTTCAAATTATTCATGGCCGTAATAAGCTTTGAAATGACAAAAACGATATTAATACATCAATTTTCCTAATGTATAATAAATCTATTAAATAACAATTTGGTTTTATTTTTGAGTTACATTTTTTTCATTAATAGGTTGGAACTAAAAGTTTTCGTAAAAAATATTTTTTCCTTTATTACACTTATGCTTATTTTGGCTAAAGAGAGGGGCTATAACAAAAATCTCTGTTCTTTTTAAATATATTTAGACTTCATATTGCGTACACATTCATCAAATAATTTTAAGTTAAAATTTCTTATAATTGCAAATAAGAGTATTTCAATATCATTCATTCTGTGTAACTGAATTTTCATTTTGGATGAATAAAATCTTGGACATATAATCATCAACTGACTTATTATACCAAATTAAAAACAGTATTATTATTATTCTATTAAATTAATTAATTTCAACAGATTAAATTATGATTAATAATTTACACTTTCATTTATTTAAAACTGAATCACTAGCAGCTTTATACAATTTCATTCCTTTTTTGTGTATATTAAAATAACCGTTTAATACAATCACGACTTTTATTAGTAGAAATTTAATAAATAAACGTAACATTTAAAACAATTAGGTACGTTTTGAAAGACTTGCAATTACGTATTGTATTCTATTATGAAGCGTTCCAAAAACAATAAGTCTCCATAAATATGTCGGGTTTGAGCGCGGTTCTGTTGTTCTCAGCTATTTTGTTTTGTTTTTGCGCTATTATGCGATTTTCTAAACAATATGAGGGATTTTGGTGGCGTTTAAACGACCACGAGGAGTTTTATTTACTTCACCAGCAACAATACAGTAACAATACAAATGGTTAGCTATTGTCCCATTCTTAACTTGTTATACATATAAGTTCCAAAATAAACTACGAATACATATGTGAATAACACTTAGATTACACCACAGTTTACTTTTTAAGGCCAATATCACATGAAATCACATTTTTTATATAAGTGGCTAAGTCATATAACTCAAACCCTTTCGCAATAGGGCGGTGGATCTTTTTACGATTTTGGACCAAGCTGTCATCTGAATGGTCATCTTATATTTTATTGGTAGTAATATTTTTCTCATTTAAAATATTATAAGCAAATCCATGGTATGAGAAAATGTATAGTGTATGTGTATTTTTCAAGTATTCAGAATTTCATAATATTGCGAACTTAAGTTTTAGAGTACCTTATGACCAAAAGTATCTACAGAATGAGAATTTTAATAGATGCTCCTTTTAAGCAAGAGCGAAAATCTGGACAAAGTAGTTTTATATATAATATTTATAGGATTAAGTATTTCTGATACTTAGCCAACATTTAGATTTGGCAGCGACAAAAATTAAAGTATCTCAAATTACATTACTACGAAATGACTTTGTAGTAAGTATATTTATACAAGTATCCAAACTCTATGAAAGTAATTTCTCACATTGTTTTTTATAGGACCTACTATTTCTATTATTAAATTAAAGATTTCTATTATTTTAGATAACATTCGTTGTATTTTACAGTTTCGGGGAATAATAAGATATAATATAAATAGGAACTAGTAGACTTACATAAAAAGTTTTCAATATTCTCGTATCAGAAGTTCCAGTTAGATTCATTCGATATAGATTTAATTTGAATATAACAGACGAATACTGAAGTTTTACGTATGTGGATTACTTAAAGCATACATATTGACAAAAAGCCTTAATAAGCTTCCAAACACCGTTTTCATTAACCGAAATACTAAAAGATACGAAGTTGCCTCATCTTGTTTATATGCTAATGCGTTTTGCGTGCAATTTCACTGAGCTCTTTATCTTACACGGCTTTATATCTTATTACTTAAACTTTAAGAAATATATCCATTCTAATATTGAAGTTTCCAGTAAACATATTACTTATTGAATTTGTTTTGAAATAAATACTTTTTGTTTTTTGTTTTGTTATCATTTGTCTTCATAAATAAAAACAAAAGGCATTGGTTTACTAAAAGCGTATGAATGTTAAAACAAGTTAGAAAAGTTAAGATTATTTAGCAGTTTTAAAATTATTGATGTTTTTTTTATGAATCATATGCGGTTATAGAATTTCAATATATTTGTGTTGATACTCCTTGTCTTACCACACTTTACCTTACCACACTGTTAATCTGGATTTTAATAATCAAAGTGTAAGTGTCCGAGCGATGGATTTGCCAGGGTAAAATAAGGATCAGAGAGGTGGTCGTTAAGTATGGGTTTTAATAGGATACTCAAGGTCATGGATCTATGGCGAACCGTGAACAACGTTAAGTGGAAAAGGTCTTAGTGGTGGTTTTATTATTTGGCATCTAGCTCGAAGGACTGAAAGCCGATGGGGCCTTAAGGTCCTCAAATGTCGACTGAACACTTGTTAGTGCTCATACCATCTAGTCTGTGCAATATCTTGTATATTCAAAAAGCACAAGTTCCGACGTCATGGTATATGTTGGGAAAGATCTTTGTAGGTTCAAATCTCTTTAATGTCAAAATTTTCACTAGTATTCTTTAATTCCTGTTTTTATTAGCAATGTAATAGTGGAACAACACTGTAAAATATCTTTTACATTAAATTTCGGTATATATGTACATATAAATATGATTACAAGTATATTATAAAATATCATGGTGTGACATACTCGTATTGATAATTAATTAATGTATAATTACTCATACATTATTAACGAATACTCGTACTAAGAGATTTAAAATACCTTGATAGATGGTTTTCAAAAGGTTAAAGTTCTCTGGTGCTCATTCCCGTCAGACAGTCAAAGGTAAAACAGATAAAATATTAAAAACTAATTTATTTGAAGAATATATTGCTTGAACTCTAAGCGATTTAAGCTACATTCCTTTTAATTTATTTATTTATTTCTGAAATACCATCGGCATATTCACAAACTATATGTTGAAAAAAAAATATAAAAAAAAAAATAAATTGTTCGGTGTGATACACATTACAGGTATTTACATTATTGCGAACTTTAAAAACTACACTAAGACATTTAAAGAATATTACTTATCAATAAAAAAAATAAAACTAAGATAAAATATCAATTACTAACTAAAACAAACAAAATAAGCTAACAAACATATAAATATCAATTATCAACTAAAACAGTATTTATTATTTTTTTAAAACTA